TTATTATTATTATTATTATTATTATTATTATTATTATTATTATTATTATTATTATTATTATTATTATTATTATTATTATTATTTACCAAGCTTTCGTTGGATCTTCTTGAAATACTGAAAGGGTGAAAAATTAAATTAGGTGGATAGCTTGGTGGCCTTTTTATTTCTATCCCACCTTTATACTTTTTTTTATAAGCAACACAAGGTGGTGATCATAGCCAATACTCCTTCCTCCGGCTGCTTTCTCTGCAAGAGCTTCCCATGAAGTGATCTGGACAGAGAGAAAGTGAATGGCCCAAGGTCATCCACCTGGCTTTGATGGCTAAGGTAGGACTAGAACGCACAGCCTCCTACATTCAAGCCTGGTGCCTTAACTCAACCGGTGGGCCGTGAATGGGGAAGCCAACCAGATTCATTTAACAACCGCGTTGTTAACAACTGCAGTGATTCCCTTAACAATGGTGGCAAGAAGTTGGTTTGTGACAATAAAAGTTATTTTATTAGTAAATGATGAGGTACTAGGATGAGAAATAGAATATACTTGTGAAATAAAGTAAGAATGTAAATTATCTGAACAATATGTGTATTTTAGATACAATAACTATTTTGTAATGAATTTGGGAAAATTTGGGATACCCGAAGTCTAAATATTATGGAGATTAAAGGCTAAATTGGAACACGGTAATTGAAATTAGGTAAAACTTAAAAACAGGACTTGGATAGGTATAAGTAAAATTATATTGACAGATGTATTGATTGATTGAGCTATAACTAGAAATGTATTCACTTGAATGTGATATAATAATTAAGGGAAATAGAGAGGGAACTTTCAATGACGCAACCTGAGATGTGCACGAAAGATTTTGTTACTGGACTATTGATTACCCAATCACCACACTGCTTCCTAAATACTTGGATGTAAAATTGAAAAATTAATAAAACTTGTTATAAAAAAAAACAACGGTGGCAAGAAAGGTCATAAAATGGGGCAAAATTCATTTAACTGTCTTAGCAATGGAGATGTTGGGTTTAATTGTGGTCGTGTAAGTTGAGGACTACCTGTATAGCTTTGTGGATGCAAAATAAACAGCTGTCCTTTCCCCCCCCCCTCCTTTTTTTTTACCTGTAAAGGGTGTGGATTTATCAAAGCTCCTTGAAGCAGGAATTTACATCTGCAAGATGCTGAACCGGAAGACCAGTTCAAAAGTTGCACAGGCCAGCTGCAAACTGTGAAGTAGATCCGTGCCTTTCCTGGACTTGCTGGGATGAAAACTGCATGGCAGTCTGGAAATTGCCACGTTAGTATTTGCTCCCCTAACTTTATTTAAGCACTCTCAAATGACCCAGACCTTCAAGATAAGAAGATGGAAGAATGTAGAACACCATATCTACCCATCAGACACGTTGGCTGTATTTGAAGATGGATGTTGCAGTTATTTTAAGGAGCAAATGTATTATGCTTGCCCTTATTTTTGACCTAAGACTCCTGTTCCTGAAATCTGTTTTGTATCTAGGGCCATCACACTGCCCAGCACCCGTCCCTCCAGCGTTTCTCCAATGCTGGGATTTCTAAAGGTCCTAACTGTCAGGACAAGTTTTTATAAGCTCTTGGATCCTTATGATCCTTTTTAGGTGCAGTGGTCCTGGGGAATTCTGGGAGTTGAAGTCCACACATCTTAAAGTGGCTGAAGTTGAGAAACACCACTCTATAGTGTTCGTCTTGTCAAGCATTGAAGCAAAACATAAGCTGGGATTTCTCTCCAAATAAAAAAAAATATTTTTACTCTGGATTTGAATGTTACTTGTGCCGTTTGATTTCCCTCCCCCCCAATGTTCTACCCAAGGGAATCAAAGGAGCAGTCAGAAGCAGTCATACAGGTAGCCCTCAACTTAGAACCATTTGTTTAGTGACCGAAGCTTAGAACGGCACTAAATGTGACCGTTTTTCACATTTACGCCATTGCAGCATCTCCATGGTCACGTGATCAAAATTCAGAGGCTTGGCGACTGGAAAGAATTTGTGATGGTTGCAGTGCCCCAGGGTCATGTAAGATAAGATAAGATAACTTTTATTGTCATTTTTTTTACTGTGGGCACAACAGCACACATCAAAAATGAAATCATCTAACAAAGTGGGGAAGCCAGATTGACTTTACAACTATGTTAGTAGCTTAACAACTGCAGCGATTCACTAAATAACTGTGGTTAGGAGCTTCTGAGTGACAAAGATTGATGTTTGCAAATGTTTCTAGCAATCTTGAGAGGGGTCTTGTCCATTTATGACCGAATGACCAAGCGCACCCTGGATCTGTTTGGCACTGATTAACTTGTTTCTGGACTTTCAACCTTGCAGTCTGGTGCTGCTCATCTCACTGAGCTTTGCACTTTAGCAGTACTCTTTTGGGGGTCGATACTGGGGCCCAGCCCAGGTCCCACACAGGAAGATAAATAAGGTCCCAGACTGAAGTTCTGTGCCTGGATCTCTGGGATGCTTCTGGATTCCCCCCCCCCCCAATATTTTATTAAGTTTTATCAGGGTAAGGGAAAACAAGGATGATTTTTAGGTAGTGGGATTCAGGATAGGGTTCAGGGAAGGGATTAGGGTGGGGATGGGTACAACAATGGGGTTGCCCCCAATAACATTCCAAGCTTTAGCAAGCAAACTATTATCCAGATACAAGTATTCAACAGGGTTAATTAATATAATAAGTAGCTGTAGTCAACAAAAATAACAAAAGTTATAAAACATCAATTAATCAAAAAAGAAAGTCAATCATCTTAAGTTTTACAAGCAGTTTTCGTTAACTCGTTCTGCTAACCATTGATAAAAATTTTCCCATGTTTTAAAATAGACTGAGTCTTCTTTCTCTTTAATCTCTAGCTTCTGGATTTTTGACCCCCCCCCCCCATTTCATTGTCTGAACTGGATGGTACATTTAGCCCAAAGGTGTCCAACTCTGGCAACTTTAAGCATTGTGGACTTCAAGCCCTGGGGAATTCTGGGACTTGAAGTCCACATGTCTTAAAGTGGTCAAGGTTGGCTACCCTTGACTTAGCCACCAATGGTATCACCTTTACCACCAATGGTATCACCTTTACCCATAGCCCAAGCAAGACTAAAGTGTTTTCCACTCTTCCACTTTTTTCAGCTCCAACCATTCTAAATTCCAGCTGGCTTTTCCCATATTGACTTTGCTGGGAAGGGTACAAATGGTGTCCCTATAACCCTGGGACACTGCAACTATCATAAATACAGGCCAGTTGCCAAGCACCCTAATTTGGACCACCTGATTATGGGGATTCTGCAACAATCATAAATCAGTCATAAGTCACTTTTTTTCAGTGCCATTGTAACTCTGAACGGTCACTAAACGAATGATTGTAAGTCAAGAATTAATTACCTGTAGTCAAAAATATAGAGCTGATGTTGCTTTAAAGATGTGGCCACTAGAAGGCAGTATACTCCAACTTGTTGAACCTACCCAAATAGTGAATTAGGTGATTTAAATAACAAAACATTTACATTTAAATTATGGCATGTTATTTTGAAAAAATAATAACTATATTCTTTTGTGAAAATAAAATAATTTTCATAGCATTGCTCCCAAATACTGGCCATGTTGATATATGTACATACCTCCAGCTTAGGGAAGGCTTGTCTAAAAGACTCGGGAATTTAAAAGTGTGATGAAGACAACAGCTCTAAGAGTCAGTATAAAGCCAGGTGTTGCATCCGGGCTTATTTTTAACACCCTTTCAAAACCCAGACAGTTTGTAGACGCATATAATGTTAAGGGGGAAAAGGGCTTCTGCAAAGCCAAACAGTTAAAACAGCAATTAATTATAGATAAAAGACTTTTCTAGACAAGGAAATTTCCCAAGTCGAGAAGTCTAAAATCAAGATGAAAATTTACAATTGACTACAATGTCAAATCAAGGGAGAGACTAGATTGTGGTTAGTCAACCAGCCAGGGTTGTAAAGAACTAGATTGCAAGTGTCACTATACACAAACCCAGGGGTCTTCAAACATGGCCCTTTTATGACTTGTGGACTTCAACTCCCAGTGCCTAGCTGAGGAATTCTGGGAGTTGAAGTCCACAAGTCATAAAAGGGCCAAGTTTGAAGACCCCTGCACAAACCCGATGCTGGAATTGCTTCTAGCAAAAGAGTAGCAATAGCACTTAGACTTTTATACCGCTTCATAGTGCTTTACAGCCCTCTCTTACAGAGTCAGCATATTGCCCCCCAGCAATCTGGATCCTCATTTTACTGACTTCCGAAGGATGGAAGGATGAATCAACCTTGAGCCAGTCAGAATCAAACTGCTGGCAGTCAGCAGAATTAGCCTGCAATACTCCATTTTAACCACTGTGCCACTACGGCAGTAGTGTTCCTGGGAAACGTAAATCCTCTCTCTGCTGAGTATACTTACCTTGCTGGTAAGTTCAGCATCTTGCTGCTTGCTCAGAAATAACACACTCTGGCAAGGTGCAGAGATGCCAGGAGGAACTGCTTGGGAGAGGGGCAAGTGAGTGCCTGGAGCAGCCTTCATTGCAATTGGATCAGACTCCAAGGGCATGGCACTAGGATAGCTTCATTTAGGTGAACTATGGCATAATCACAATTGTTCATGTTGAACGTAACCTTGAGCAAACAACACACAGTGCTGGGCTGCATTAACAGAGGGATAGAATCAAGATCATGTGAAATGTTAATACCACTTTACAAGGCCTTGGTAAGGCCACACTTGGAATACAGCATCCAGTTTTGGTCACCACAATGTGAAAAAGATGTTGAGACTCTAGAAAGAGTACAGAGAAGAGCGACAAAGATGATTAGGGGACTGGAGGCTAAAACATATAAGGAACGGTTGCTGGAATTGGGTATGTCTAGTTTAATGAAGAGAAGGACGAGGGGTGACATGATAGCAGTGTTCCAGTATCTCAGGGGCTGCCCCAAAGAAGAGAGAGTCAAGCTATTCTCTAAAGTGCCTGAAGGCAGGACAAGAAGCAATAGGTGGAAACTAGCCAAGGAGAGAAGCAATCTAGAACTAAGGAGAAACTTCCTGACAGAACAATTAACCAGTGGAACAACCTGCCTCCAGAAGCGGTGAATGCTCCAACACTGGAAGTTTTTAAGAAGAGACTGGACAGCCATTTGTCCTAAATGGTGTAGGGTTCCTGCCTGAGCAGGGGGTTGGACTCGATGACCTTCAAGGTCCCTTCCAACATCATCATCATCATCATCATCATCATCATCATCATCATCATCATCATCATCATCATCATCATCATCATCATTATTATTATTATTATTATTATTATTATTATTATTATTATTCCCAAACTATGAGGAACCTTGTTCTGGAATCCGATCTATCTTGCTAGATCAGGCTAGACCAGAACTGCCATGTAACTGGCAGGAAAGGAGAGATCGTCTTCTCACCATTGCTAGGGCTGGCCACAGTTTCTTGCCAACTTGCCTAACACCAGCCTTCTCTCCATCTCCTCTGAGCAAAACTGAATATACAACGTCAGGTTCTTGCTTCGGATTCATCCTTTTCTGACTTTTCAAAAAAAAAAAAAAATGTTAAGGCCTGGCTCTGCCAATTGGCACGGTGGTTCAAGAGTGTGATGTACTCCTGGGGATGGCTGGTGGTTTGAGGAATCTCTCTCTGCCTGATAAAGTTTTTGAATGTTCTGAATTTTTTTAACTTTGATTTTTAACTTTAGCTATAACTTTTAACCTTGTTAAATTAGGTTTTTCACTGGGCTTTAAGCCCTGTGTTTGTATTGCTTTATTGTTTATATTTCCTTTATTGTCCTGGCTCATGTGGTTAAGGATGCTGGGCTGGAAGTTAGCAAGCCCACGTTCAAGGCCCAAGTGCTGCTCCCTGGCAGGGTGAGCTCCTGTCATTCGCTCCAGCTTTTGGACGGGGACATGAAAGGAGCCCCCACAGCCATCCCCCTGGAAGTGCCTACAAAGTATCTCCGACACGAATGGGAAATGTCGCTGTAAACCACCCAGAGCAGGGATGGGCAACGACAGTCCCTTTACAACTTGTGGACTTCAACTTCACAGTGGAGTGAAAGTCCACAGGTTGTAAAGGGGCTATAGTTGCCCACCGTCACTTAGGTGAGATGGGCGGTATAGAAATTTAATACATAAATACAAATATTTGATAAACAAATAAAAAACTAGTCTCACCATTTTCTTCAGACTACTCGACTTTGGTCCTGCCCACAGTCGAAGCATAGCACCTTAAGGGTTTTTCCGTCCTGTTGTGGGATAGAAAAAATAACGGTTGTCATTCTCAAAACAGAGCTGTGCAAAAACGGTTAAGATACTTTATCCTATCTTCAGATACGTTCATTATGTGTAAGGACCAAACGTACGGTATTGTATACAGAATGGATAGTACCTACATTTGTGCTTTTGGTAAGTGTGGAATTTTTGAAAAAAAGATTGTTACTGAAAATAATTTCATTTTGCATTGTCCCTAAGCAGTTTCTATAGTCTATACCAGGGGTAGGCAACTTTGGCTCTTTTATGACTCGTGGACTTCAATTCCCAGAATTCCTGAGCTAGCATGGGGGGAACTATGGCCCCTTCATGACTTGTGGACTTCAACTCCCAGAATTCCTGAGCCAGCATGGCTCAGCTTGGAAACCTCTCTTTCCCCTCAGCATGGCTGGCTCAGGAATTCTGGGAGTTGAAGTCCCTGAGTCATGAAGGGGCCAAAGTTTCCCTCATGCTGGCTCAGGAATTCTGGGAGTTGAAGTCCACGAGTCATGAAGGGACCAAAGTTTCCCTCATGCTGGCTCAGGAATTCTGGGAGTTGAAATCCACGAGTCATAAAAGAGCCAAGATTGCCTACCCCTGGTCTATACAGATAGTCTTGCACTTTTACAACCATTCAGTCTCCATTTGAAGATGCAATAGCACTGAAAAAGGTGATTTACAACCGATACTTGCACTTACGATCCACCCATGGTCATGTGATCAAAATTTGGGTGCTTGGCTTCTGGCACGTATTCATGATGGTTGCACCATATCAGTGTCATGCAGTTGCCATTTATTACTTGCCCAAATGGCTTTCATAAAGTAAAGTCAATGGGGGAAGCCAGGTTCATTTAACAACCCTAGCAAACCATGGTTCACTTAATGACGTGGCTCATTTAACAACTAAGGCAAAACTTTTTGTAGAAGCAGGCACAACTTGCTTCAGCTACCTCGCTTAAGAATGGAAATTTTGGTCCTAATTGTGGATGTAAATCGAGGACTACATGTACGATGGAGTTTATGGATGCCTTATTATGATTCTTCCTTTCATATATTTACGGCTCTTATTGCATTGCCAAAACAACTGGACACAAAGGCAGTTTTCCCACCCATGCCATCACACTGCTGAACAACCTATTTTACACAGCACTGACTTACGGCTAAGGATATTTACCCATGTAGGAGGGCTTCCTGAGGAGAAAAGCTATGGCAAATATAGACAGCATACTAAAAAGCAGAGACATCACCCTGCCAACAAAAGTGCGTATAGTCAAGG